TCCTTGCAGGCCAGGCCGGCGGGGTCCTGGATAAGGACGGCAAGAAGAAGCACTCGCGGCCGACCTTCTCCGGCCAGCAGATCTTTGCGCTGGAGAAGACCTTCGAGCAGACCAAGTACCTGGCGGGCCCGGAGCGCGCGCGGCTGGCCTACTCGCTGGGCATGACCGAGAGCCAGGTCAAGGTGAGCGGGTCGGCCGGGCCGGGGGCCGCGGGCCCGCCTTCTGCGAAGAGCCGAGAGCGGCCGCGGGCCTGGAGCACGAGCGCGGGAGGCGCCGCGGTCGGGGGCCCTGGCGACGAGCTGGCTGCGGTAATTGCCGGGCCCCCACCGTTCCCGCAGGTCTGGTTCCAGAACCGCCGGACCAAGTGGCGCAAGCGGCACGCGGCCGAGATGGCGTCGGCTAAGAAGAAGCAGGACTCGGACGCCGAGAAGCTGAAGGTGGGCAGCTCGGACGCGGAGGACGACGACGAGTACAACCGGCCCCTGGACCCCAACTCGGACGACGAGAAGATCACGCGGCTGCTGCGAAAGCACAAACCCTCGAACTTGGCGCTGGTCAGCCCGTGCGGCGGCGGCGCGGGGGACGCCTTGTGAGGACGCGGGGAGCCGGAGCAACCAGGGTAGGGCGCGGCGAGGCCGGCCGCGGGCCGGGAGATATATTTTTACAGAGTAAGTTATGCCGCGGGCGCTCGCGCTCGGTGTGCGGGCCCCGGCCCCTCGGGCGGGCACGGGGCGTGGGCGCAGCCGCCTTCTCGGGGCGGAATCACTTTGTATAATCAATAAATTATTTAACACGTCCGCGTCGGGGCCGTGGCCGGGAGCTGCGCCGCGAGTCTTGCGTATCGGATCCGGGGCGAAGCCCCAGAGTGGCGGCGGCCTCTCCTCGTCCCGGTCTTCGCCTGGCGCGGGGTCAGGCGCCACGCAGCCGGCGGCAGCCCCGGTGCCTCGCGCAGAGCGAGGGGACCGCGCGGCGCCCGCTCAGGCTGGGCTCCGGCTGCCCGAGCCCGGAAGGTGCGCGCGACAAGGGGCGGCCCTGGGCCCCCTGCGCCCCGAAGCGAAGGAGCCGCGACAGAAGCGGGAACTGGCGCTCGGCTCGTGTCGCCCGCCCTCCAGGTCCCCGCGCCCGGCCGCAGGTAAGGCCTCGCCAGCCGCCGCTGCGCGCCGGCGCCTCGGCTGGTCCGCGCCCTAGGGCGGTCCCCGGGTGGGACGTCGTCCCCAGGCCTTGCGCTGTAGTCTTGGGCCGGGCCGGAGTTAAACCCACTTTGGGGGCTCCTGAAAGGGAAGCGAGGCGCGGCGCGCTCCCTCGACCCGTCGGTTTCCCTTTGGCGCCCGCGACAGCAGCAAGCTTGGCATGCAGGGCTGGCGCCTGCTGCCCGCGTTCCCGCTGACCTGACCGCTGGAAGCGAGTCTAAGGTCCAACTGCCATCTGGGGCAATGTTTTGGAATGTACCAGTACCTCTGTCGTTCAGTCACCACTCACATTTTTTTCATGACCAAAATCACCCTTTAATTTAAACTACAAAAGAATGCAAATGCAGGGGCCTGGGGACAGGCCCCCTCTGACCTCCTACCATTCCTGCAGGCCCAGGAGACTGGGGCCCGCTGGGGGTGGCCGCTGGGCTTGGGAGGAAGCAATGGCTGGGCGGCTTTGTGAGGCCTGGGAATTGATCCCGGATCCCTCCAAGGGTCTCTCTGGGACTCACCCCACTCCGTTAGAACAGCCTGGCCTTTGCCATGGCCCTAAATCAGCAGGACTTGAGCCACTGCCGGGTGGATGCAGTAGCGCCAGCCCGGGCTGGCACTGAGCGGCTGTGGAAGCCAGCGCCCCAGCTGTGAAATAGCTCCCCACAGCTCTGAGGCTATGGTTCTGCTGAACAAACCCTCTTCTGTTGTGAATGCTCTCAATGGGCATCCCGGGAGCTGGCCCTTGAGCACAGGTGGGATGCTGAAGGAGACCGCTTCTCTCCAGGCACTTTGGAAAATGGGAAGGACAAGTGTAGAGGAGCAAGGTTTTTGTGTTTTGTTTTTCTCCCCATGTGGTTGCACCCTTATGAAAAACAGACTTGTTTTTGAAACCACTGGCTGGATTTCTCAGGAGGCAGTACGTTTGTTTAAGCCCATAAAAAACGCGAGGAGTCAATACCACTACTTCTCACGGAGGAAAAACTCCAGTAGTTTTCTACCGTGAGCCAGCTGGTTACTGACGTGCGCCAGTGTTGAACACCAGGCAAGCCCAGGGCACCCCGCCTGCTCGGTCTCACAGGGCAGGCTTCCCCGGCAGCCCTCCGATGCAGCATCTCGGAGCTGACAGGCACCAGGCGGGCGAGGGATGAGGCGTGCACACAGCGGGGTTCACCATCATCAGTTTTATTGCTTAGAAGCTGGAGCACGGGTTCTACAGGCCTTTGGGGCCACACGCTGAGCCCACTCACAGTGGCACAACTGCAGTCCCGCGTGTGGCCCAGCACTTACACAGACCCGCCCGTGTCGTCCAGAATGCAAACCCGGCAAGCACACGTGCACTCCTGTGCAATGGTATGGTAGTGACTGGGACCAGACAAGTAGCCACCTAGTGCCATCCCACGGCCCAGGGCTCTGTAGTGTTGTCATGAAATCAAACCAACGCACACCTGGGATTCCCTACACCCCACCCATCTTCTAACTTGTCCTTAGTGCAGAAGGGACGTGGACGACAAGGTCCTGGGTGTTGTTCGAGCTGAGCACTTACAGTCCGTGTCTCTGAATATTTATGGACAGCCCAAGCTAAAAGCAGTTTCTACCGGAAGCAGCCAAGGCTATTTCTACTTCTCCCAGGATACTGTTGTTGTAACGTAGAATACTTGGCACCATGAAACGGTAACAAAAAACAGACAAACAATTTACAAAATTCTTAAAAGGTACACCCAAGCCTAGCTAGAAACTTCACATTCAGTTTTTAGGATCACACAGGGGAGCAGGGCAAGGGCTGCGGTGGGGGTGCTGCGGAGGCTGGCGTCCACGGTGGCACGGCTGGGCCGGAGGGCAGAGGGCAGGCTTTGTACACGCGTGTGCTGGCAGACACGCCTCGGACCCCCGACTCCGATTCCGCCTGCTGACGGGCGCCTGCAAGCACTCGGACTGGAAAGGACCTAGCCTACGTTTTGGTAAGATTTATAAATTATTTCAAAAAGTATATATTTATATATATTTATATATAAAATGGAGAGCAGCTGCGTGTGACTCGGAGACCATATGACATGGCAGTAAGTGGACAGCGTGGTGGGGCGGTTGGGAGTGGGCGCCCCAGCCCTCGGGGTGACGATACTTGCCCCTCGCCGACGCCCGTGGGGCTCCTGCTGGGGACACTGCCACGCTGTGGATTAAAAATCTAAATACAGGATCTCCTTGCTGTCGATTAGAGTTTTGGCAACAGGACTGTGAGTTATTTAAAAAAACCAGTACTTCTACTTAATGTCACATGAACAGACAAGACAGTGAGGTATGTGAGGCTTTTCCGGAACGTTCCGGAGGCTGAAGCGAAGTGTGGGGCCGGCGTCTAGCAGGTGGCGCGCGGCGGGTCTATCGATGCAGCTGTTAAAGAGTACGTGTTTCAGGATCCTGCTTCCCCGTCTCCTCCTCGCTCCAGGGTGGTCTCTCGAAGGGGCTTGTCCGTGCGCTGGTATCTCTTTCCTGTAGGGATCAGGGGTGCGTAACGGGGCAAACACAGCGGGCAAACTGCAGAAAGGGTGGCTGAAGGGAAGGAGGCATATTTACCACACGTCACTGCACGACACAACACTTGTGCACGGGCGCGTGAGGTTTACCTGCCCCGGGCGCGATCCGGAAGGCCAGGAACACAGGCTGCAGTGGAGGAGAGGGGGGTGAGGGACAGCCGAGGCCCGCTAGGCCGCAGCGCAGACCCCCGCTCCCACACAGCACTACCTGCCCACCCGCCACCCGGACCCCCGCTCCCACACATTGCTCACCGGGACCCTGCTCTCGCATAGCACCATCTGCTCCTCAGCCCCATGCACAGAGAGTACAAAGGTAATCACCCCAGTTACAGGGACCAAGGCTGGGGATGCGGACGTCTCCTTGACCTTGAAAGTTAGCACTTTTGTGCTGTAAAGAGGAAAGCCCCAGACATAACAGATAATGACACTAAGGGGCAGTGCCTGCTGGTGGGTCCCAGTCACAGACCAAGCTGGTCCCGGAGCATGGCCTTCCATCGGCCGACACGCAAGTGCTGCAAGAGGGCCTTGTGCACAAACCCGAGGCGGCCTCAGAGCCACCAGGGTCTGTCACCAACAGTGAAATGCATTTCACGCATGCGTGAATCCTCACGAACTTCACAGCTGTCTTTCATTATTTTATTAAGACTGAATAAAAGTGACCAATTGGTCTCCCTCTGTAAAACCAGACTAAGGAGACTAGGGAAGTGGCCGCCCCCAGCCCGCCCTGCCCAGCCCCTCTGGCCGGTGCCTGTTCACCTTGTGGTCCCCCATGCAGACGTTGGGTCCGATGTGGTCATAGATGACAACCTTCTCTTCACTCTCCGACTAAGAAAAGCAAACCATCAGGTTGGTGCTGGGAGGTGGGGACCGATGGCAGGGGGACAGGTCCTGTCTCCATGCCCCTCACCCACACACACAGAAGGCTCTGCCGCAGAAGGGGCTCCTGGGTGTCAGAGGAGGTGTTTGGGGGCCCCAGCTCTCCTCTGTCCCTGACCCCTGGGTGTGGCAATGAGTCCACTTTGCCCTTGCTCCTAACACACGCCCCCACTGTAGCTGCCCGGCTCTGTCTCCACGTGTCTGTCTGTGACAGCTCTCCTAACCCAGAGCCCTGTTCAAACAAGAGAGGACCAGTGATTCCTAATTACGTCTGCATGCGGCACAGACCCGCCCTTGAGCGCCTGGCAGGTGCCTTTGTCTTGTGGGAGGCACTGAGGGGCCTGCGGTGGCCAGTGCATGGCCACAGAGCCTGCAAGGGCGTTAGGCCCCGCACGGCAGCAACCGAGCAGTCGGGTGACGTAGCAGCTAGCGTGGTGCGAGCTCCTGTGCGGTGCGAGCTTCCGCACAGCCACGCGCCCTCATCCGGAGCCCCAGCTGCCGCGGAAGTGCCACACATCCATCAAACGCAGCGAGGTAATTTACAAAGGCAGCATAAAATTGCCGGTTTTCAGCTGTGTCATCTTTAGACAGATAAACAAATTACAGCGACACAGGCGGAGTGGCACACCTCAGTGAGCACTCATCACGCGGCTGCCGGCACCGCCCCGCGCCACCCGCAACCTTTGGCGTCTCCGGGCTGGGAAGCACACGGGATGTGCCGGCGGTGACTGAGCGTGGCATGATGGATGAGGCACGAGGCTGGCTATGACAGCGTGTCACAGCAGTCTGCACTGCCTGCTGCCTGCTCGTGGTTTGGCAGCTCCCACACAGGGCAGGGCTGTCTTCAGGGCACCAGGAGAGCTGTGGCCGTGCACTGTCATCAGCCCAGACGGTCAGCATTTCCACGGTTTAAATGCATCTGTCGGTCCTGGGTCTGCCGAACCAGAGCCCCTGGGCAGCTGCCACAGATGCTGCCTTGGGGCTGACGGGCCACCCGCCAGCGCG